TAGTGTAGTGTAGTGTAGTGTAGTGTAGTGTAGTGTAGTGTAGTGTAGTGGAGTGGAGTGGAGTGGAGTGGAGTGGAGTGGAGTGGGGTGGAGTGGAGTGGAGTAGATCTCCATCTCCACACTGATTATTTCAGAGTAATGAAGGGAGGCATGTGTTGGTGTGTTTCCGATCCTGGCTGCCTTCACTTCCTCATCCTCATCCTGATCCTCATCTGTGCGTGTGCCTGATCCGCCTGTAGTTGACACGCTTGTGTCTTAGTAGGTGTGTAGGTAGTTAGGTATTTAAGTAGGTGAAGGAGACAAGTTCGTTTAGGTTTCCCCGTTGTTGGCGCTTGTCGTTGTTGTTGTTGATAGTGTTGGTTGTGGTGATGATGATGATGATCGGGTATCTTCATCACCTCTGTCTCCTTTACGTTAACCTGAATGAAGTCCCATCTTCTGTCACTGCCTCTCCTGCCAAATTGTAAGTTTTTGTCTGTACACTTTGGAGTTTATGTGACATAGGAAACTAGATATAAATCATCATTGGTGAATTGAGAATCTTCTTCTGGGGTCTTTTCATCGGTTCAGTCAGCGTATGTCCTACTTCTCGCTCCTCACATTTTGCTGCACGACCCAATTCAGGTGAGTCGACTCGAGTCAAGTCGACCACAATGGAGAAGATCAAATTAGGGTTTGGATAAATCTGCTGTAATTAAGTTCAGTATAATTAATTGAATTTGGAGGTTTGTCAAGATGTGGTGATTCTCCAACTTGGAGTGACATCACAGTGGGAACTTGTGTGTACTGGACAGCTACATCGTCCTTGTATGGGGCTCCTCAGCGGTACCCCTCCACGACCTGGCCAGGGATCGAATTCATGACCTTCAGGCTTCACAGCGAACGTGTTGATGATTCAGCCTTTGGATGGGTTTTTAGTGGCTCACAATTTCCAACTTCTGTCATTTTTCTAGCCGGGTCGTAGGTGCGTACTGTTAAGGAGTCCCATACTGGGACAAAACAGCTGTCCAGTGTTCCCAGGTTTTCAATGGTTCCCCAACTGATGTCAGTCCATGATGAATACTACCTCTAAACTAAAATCCTCATCTGTCTCTAAAGTGATCATTAGCTTTATTAGGCTACACATTGTAGTTGCAAGAGTGCGCATACAACTGACTTACACCTAGTTCTAACGATGAGATTACAACCATCTTGTTTGGCTGCTAGTTATCTCCCAACTAGTTGGCAGAACCTAGTCTTCTCTATATTTTTTAATTATTATCAGGAATATAACTGTTGTGAATGTCCTGAAAGAAGTTGACCGCCGAGTTAGATTTTGCTGAAGAATCTGTGGTTTAGACAGCGAAGTCTTCAGAAAAATCTTCATTCCGATTTTACAAACACGCTGGGATTGCATTAAAATTTATTTATACAATGAAAATAGCCTACATATCTCCTAGTCCCTTTATAGTGAAACAGACGCTGAAGAATAGTCTACTGTAGTATAGTGTGATATTCCACTTCAATAATTGTGCACTTCATCCTACTAAGACCTTTTTCCTAAATATCACAGTAGGTACCTTCATAAAGTTCGATGAGACCTAGAACCAGAAAAGCCTACTTGAACATACAACAGACTGTAATCACAAAGAGTGTAGAGGTGAACCAGGTGAACTCAACCAACACCACCACCACCAATAACAACAAGCTCCAATCACCATGAACGGGAGAAAATTAAAGGAAGTAGCCTCTTTCACCTACCCACCTAGGCAGCATCCTTTCAACTACGGGCGGTAGCACAGACGAGGATGTCAAAACCAGCATCGGAAAGACAGCAAGATGAGCTTTCCTTCATTAATCTGAAATCAGTGTGGAGATCTACTGCACTACACTCAGCATAAGGAACAAGATCCGGATTATCAACACCAATATCAGTCAAGTCAGTGCTTCTGTATGGCTCAGAGACTTGTTGCATTACGAAAAACATTTCCAATAAACTACATATATTCATGAACAACTGCCACCTACGCTTGCTCGATACTGAAGCTGACTGAGATGGCGATAATAATGAGAATAAGCAAGAAGGAACTGTGACTGGTTGTCTGGTAACGAACCAACGAAGTGAGAACCTATCACCCAACAAATATGCACTGGAAGGGATTGGAGGTGGATTGGACTTGACATACACTGAGAGGACCATTTGAGGACATCAGGCTCAGGCCAGGCCGTCGAGTGGAACCGAGATGGGAAACGGTGACTTGGGCATCTGTGGTGAGGGTGACATTGAGAAGATAGTGTGAGGAAGAAATGAGAGCTTGTGGGCAGTTGTGAAGCTAGGTTGAAAAGATTGGAGAGAAGAGAGTGGAATGGAGATGTGCTAGTGAAGTCCTATGTTTCACTAGGAATCCAAGGGACAAATAATAATAATAATCTGTATCTACGGTTGACGACATCCAGTGTTCTTTTGAACCTATTCAGAGTGATAGTATCCTCCCTATCTTTTTCAGTAATGCATATATAGGCCACCTGATCCAAATATATCAGGATGAAACTATGATTGTCAGTCTAGACAAAATCATCAACATGAACTTCAGGGAGAAGTCAGCTATATGGTTTTCTCTACAAGTGGTTTAGTAACTTGCTTTGATGACCATAGGTGTAATAGGTTGTTTTTACCAGAGCTTCGTCATAGTCTCTATTATTATTTCCATTCGTTGTCCTGCTGACATCAGCCATGATCTCCTTGTCTTTTCTTATTGGTTGATAGATTAGGTCAGTGTCAATATGTCTGTCTGTTGACCACTGACTGATCTGAATTCCAGCTTCTGAAGATTTCTTGACATTCTTTGTACTTCTTCTATCCAGCCGAGATTTCCATACCTTCCCAGTCGAACTTATGTCCACAATTGTCTCTGTTTATTGAAATGAGTAAAGATATTTTTTGACGTTTCACTTCTAGCTGATGTTCATGTAGATGGACATGAAGAAGACGGGCGATTATTTTAGGAGAGAAAGTGATTTTCTCAGTTCCTGCTGAGAAAAAAGAAACAAAGGGAATTCGAAAACTATTTAATGACTTTTTCCCACAAGAATGAATATCCACGCAACTTTATCAATGGATGTTTGCACAATTTATCGTCAATCAAGACGTCAACCTCGGTAACCAAAAAATGGATTGTCCTACCCTGCATAAAAAACGTCTTCGATATTATGACTAGAGTACTGAAGCCTTTTAGAATCACTGTAGCTCACAAACCCATAAAATCTCTTCACTCTCTGCTAGACGGGCCGAAAGATGCAGTGCCGAAAAAAAGCAAACATTATCTTTGAAATAAACTGAAGAAACTGGGGAAAACAGTAAATCGGACAGAGGGGTCACCTACGCTCTTCATAGCCGTCTACATGAACATATTTACTCATTTCAATAAACAGAGACAATTGTGGACATAAGTTCGACTGGGAAGGTATGGAAATCTCGGCTGGATAGAGGAAGTACAAAGAATGTCAAGAAATCTTCAGAAGCTTGGAATTCAGATCAGTCAGTGGTCAACAGACAGACATATTGACACTGACCTAATCTATCAACCAATAAGAAAAGACAAGGAGATCATGGCTGATGTCAGCAGAAAAACCAATCAAAATAAACTTGGAGATACTGACAAGACTTTAGCTCTTTCTTCTTAAATGTTATGCTGATAATGTTGTCTAGAATGATAGTGACAGGTTCACGAATAAACTATCCACCTCAGAGAATACAACATCATCAGAAACAGTATCCATTCGTACAGAAAGTAACAATTTGAACAATGCTGAGAATACAAATTACAGCTTAGGTTATTGAATGAATATGCAATACTTTACTTGCTTGTTGGTGGTTGGCAGTGGAACTTAGAATGTGCTGGATGTACTTGCACCCTGGCAGCCACTTCTTCTAACACCAAAAGGTTAGTCATTAGCAAGCACCGTAAAGCATGACAACCACCTCTTAATCACTAGGTATTAGTTATTATTATCATTTATTGATAGTGGATTTCACTGCTTACAACCATGAAGCAAATTACAACGTAACGAGTAATTAGGCGATATCGAGGCATCTAAACAGCAGCCCATATGCCAACAGAGGTAGATCACTTCGGTACAGAATAACAACGGGAAATTACGGGTATCACTAAGCAGCATATAGAAAATAAACCATCAGTAGTTTTAATGTATTTTTGTGTAACGATCCCTTTTCCAAAATTTTCACGAAATAATTTGAGCTACTATATATGTTATAAAGTAGTATAATAATATAACTTAAATTGTTACCCTATCTTTCAGTTAAGTAGTGTTTCGCTTAAGGACATCAAGCTTATTTTGTAACATATATTCGAAGAAGAAATTGGTACAATACACTTTATATTTATCATGATAATAATATGTACAACTGATTTTTTATTTGAAGGTGAAGATAAAAACAAAAAACAAGACCGAATTGATGACATGAGGTAATGAACTGGTTTACATTTCACTGGTTCAATTCTCTAATTGAATCACTTTTAAGTAGAAATTATTTTTATATATCTATGAATAGATATTCATTTCATGTTTATATCTTTGGGGTACTTTAATGTTTTCAAGTCGATTGAACATTGAAAATATAATTCAGGCGGGTTTTATGAATGTTAGTTAAGTGAATTAGTTCATCAATCCAATTCAATTTGTATGCATGTGAACATTCACAATCTGATTTATTAGGCTACAAGAATGAAGATGAAGAAAGAATACTGATGGGATTTTTAAGTATACTCTTAAATATAACTAAACATTTTTCAATTTTTTATAAGAAATTACTTTTGATTTTATGATCATAATCACTTATGATCTATATATGAAGAATATACTTTTATTTGATACATGTGTTGTAGAGGTAGAAGTTTACTGAATCATAATACTGATCCACCTAATGATGTAAATGTATACAAGCTGATGATGAGAAATGTATTACTTAACTACTCAATTGTATATAAATTTCTTTTATCTTATGTAAGAATATTTATACTTTTGTAAAAAAGTGTATCAGGTAAAAATGTATGCGTAATACTATAGATCCATTGAATATACCATGGAACACCAATTGAACACGTTGAATGAATTTCATTATCTTCAGTATATCCAAACCATGTAATATATGAGTAAAGATTTGATAATATTATGAAGGCTAATTTCCATGGCCATATAATAATTGAAGCTAAATTATGATTTGAAATATGTGCAAAACATGAGACTAAAACATTATTCACAATCAATGTACCACTATCCGTTATAGGTGCATATAAACCAATTATATTTTCTATATCTTTATTATCATTGAATATAGGCTTGATAGTTTGAACTGAGATCACTTGAGCTTTTATCAACTTGGTAGAATCATTTCCGTAATGTATAAAAATTGTTTGACCATTTTGAACAGATGATGCAAAGATAGCCTTTTGAGTAATTATTTGAGCATCACCGTTAGGGTTATTACAACATATTGTAGAATTTTCATGTATAAAAATCAAATGATCTTCAGTGAGTAGAATTTTTCCATATTGATTTTTATTTGAATCAATTTGAAAGATAATTTCTGTCAATGGACTCCATGCATGCTCATCACGATCAAGGAATCCAAAAACTAAAGTACTTGTGAGTAAACCATTTTCTGGATGTTGTGTTATTATACGATCACCAATTTGTAAATCTTTAATTGATATCAATTCACCATTTGCTTTGTGTACTTTTGATTCACCAGGGAAACACCCAAACCATTGAGATGTGACGATAGAATCTAGAATTTAATTCAGAAAATGGCAAAAACACAGCATAATAATTTTAAGAAATAGCATTTACCTACTAGCTATTTGCAAGTAGTTAAAGTGATAATTAAACATTTTAGTCGCAACTTCAAAGTGTCAATAACAGCTACATTTGAAATCAAACGTTAAGAGAGATTTAGAGCGACAAATATCACTGGGATGTTGAGCAATCAGTTTATATTTTTATTGCCAACACAATTATAATTGCTATTATTTTTATCTTGGGTTCCTAATGGGACATAGGGCTTCACCAGCACGTCTCCATTCCACTCTCTTCTCTGAAGTCTTTTTAAGCTTGCGCCACAACTGCCCACCAGCTTTCATTTCTTCCTCGTATGATCTCCCCCACGTCACTGTCAGCTGGGACGCGCAACTAATCGTTTCTCATTTGGATTCCACTCGACGACCTAGCCTGGAGCATGATGTTCCCAGTCGGCCTTCTCGGTGTAAGTCCGATCCAATCCATCTGCACTTCCTTCCAGTGCATATTTGTTGGGTGATAGGTTCTTGCTTCAACTAGGCGTAGGTGGCAGCTCTCGATGAATATCTGTAGTTTGTTGGAATTGCTTTCGTGACACGCGAAGTTTCTCAACCATCACATAGAAGCACTGACTTGACATTGTTCTTTGTACTGAGTGAAGTAGATCTCCACACTGATTTTAGATTAGTGAAGGCCTGTCTTACTATCTTTCCGATCCTGGTTTTGACATCCTCGTCTGTGCCTTTGCCGCCACCTGTAGTTGTGAGGATGCTGCCTAGGTGAGTAGGTGAAAGAGGCTACTTCCTTTAAGTTTCTCCCGTTCATGGTGATTGATGCTTCTTGTTCTTGTTTGGATATCTTACCAACACAATAAAAAAGTAAATATTTATTGATATTTACAGAATTCTTCAGGAATGTACATTCTATAGCGTCAAATAAATTTGTTTATATCATTTTGTTTTGAATAATGCCTATAAGTGAAATTATGCCTATTATCTGTCTACAGGTCAGTTTATGATCATTTTTTATTCTGAGTATCCATAAGAATTGTATTACCAAGCCCTTTTCATGATACATAATATTTTACTGCATATTCGAATGAATAAACATGCACATCTACACACACACACACACACACACACACACACACACACACACACACACACATCCTTTCACATCTACTTACATAATTCAACTGGTTATTGGGCTAAGATATATAAGTTAACAAACATTTTATGTTTAATAGCCAAATCTTTATAAGATCTTTGTGGTAGGTAGACATCTAGGTAGATGAAATGAACAAAGTGAATAAAAGTTATATCACAAGTTGTTGTTATTGTTGTTGCCTCTTCAGAGTAGGCGATAAACTGAAGATTACTTCCCTTAAATCATTTTATGCTGAATGTTTGTATATGTTTGTCTATTTATGCATAAAACAATATTCAATCTTCAACACTTTGTTTCCCCCTACTAACTAACTAACTAACTATATAAACAATATTTTGTTTAAATAATCCACTTTTTATGTTCATTTTAAAGGAGGGAAATATAATTTCGACTTTCTTTTCAAACTTTCTAAAAAGAAAGATAATTCCATGTAATTATTATTTATTGACTGTTGATTAAAAACTTTTTTGTTGTTGTTGTTAAGATAAGCATAATTTATTCAATATTTATAACAAAATTATTAGCCCCACCGCTTACAAAAAGGTAATAACAGTGTACATGTTCAGGATATAAATTGATTGAACAATGATCAATTGAAGATTTATTACAAGTTGATTCTACTGGGTGACATTTTCTCTACTAGTCCTTAGTAATATTCTCTAGTACATTTCTACACTGATTCATCTGAAACTTAGAAAATCCTTGGCTCTCGATGATATACACTTCAAACTGCTGTTTTTATTAGCGGATATTATTGATGAGCCAGTCATAAATCTTTTCAGTATCTTCCTATCTCAGACTCAAATCACTAGAGACTGGAAAGACACCATAATCAGTCAAGTTTTTAAAGCCGGTAGTCTCTAGTTAGTATCTAACTAGCATAGTTAATAAGATTTTAGAAAAAATAATTCATGAATCAAATAGTCTTTCGGCACTATAGCAATACGGTTTTCTTACTGAACACTTCTGTTTAACAAACCTCCTTACCACAAGAAACGAATGGGTTGCAGCCCATAATTGCAAGTTCCCAGTAGATGGTGTATTTATAGACTTCAATCTGACATTCGACAAAGCATCATATATGAAATTACTAAGAATGTTCTCTTCCCTCAGATTTGGTGCTTCATTGCAACCCTGAATAAGAGAATTTCTGTACGTTGTTACCAAAAATGCTCAACTCATTGATATGAAGATTAGGAGAGCCATACGCAGTGATGCGGATAGGTATGCACTTCAAGAGGATTTAGATGAAGTAGTAGGTTGGCCCAAACGTTGGTGCCTGGTAATCAACCCCAATGAAGGTGCAATTATGCACACTGGTCACAGTAATTGTTTCCAATATTCCGTTGATGGTACACCATTACTCCCAGTCTTTGAACTAAAAGACTTGGGTGTCATCATAAGTCATGATTTGAAAACCTCGGCAAACTGTAATGTAGCTGCTTCAAAGGGTTTCCGAGTATTATGGTCCTACCGAAGAGCTTTCAAAAGTTTTCATCACGACACGTTCAGAATACACTTTATTCTACTTATGTTAGACCTCACTTGAAATATTGCATTCAGGCGGCCAGCCTATGCCTGAAAAAGGATGGTAACGTACTCAAGTGTGTTCAGAGGGTAGGTACTAGTCTAGTGGCAAGCCTTTCGAATCTGTCCTATGAGGAACGACTAGATCAGCTAAACTTATTCCAACTGTCTTACCGCAGGAAACGGGGTGATCTCATACCGGCATTTCGTATCCTTAATAATGACTTCAGTACTGATATGTCCTATCTTTCCTCCCCTGATAGGATTGACTATCTCCTGGGGCATCACAAGAAAATTCAAAAACCGTGATTGAATCAACTAAGCGTGAATCTGTGTTTCTCCCATCGTGTAGTCAAAAACCGGAACTCTTTACCTCAGCAGGCAGTATCGGCACCGTTTGTCAATGCGTTCAAGGAGAACCTAGATCTTCACAGAGATATCTTATGCAATGATTAACCCTAGACAAACTGGCTTACTATCTTAATAACTGAGAATTAAAATGTCCATTCAGTAATCACCAAATGTAAAGTCCTCAATCTGAAGGTTTCTTGGAATTTATTTATTGATTTCAAGTTGAATAGAGGTGACGATATATAGCGAATTGGCAGAAATAGAAATAACTCAGTTGTAGTGCCATCGCTACAAGATTTGAAGGTTCTCGGTTTGACCCCTGATGGGGTGGGGTCATGGGTAATAAGTACCGAGGAGTCGCATCCTAGGACGAAACGGATTTTCAGTGCTCCCAAATTTCTAGTGGTGTCAGTGATGGATTCCAACTTGAAATTTGAAGAAGTTGTTTGGCAATAATCTGAATAATCATTGATTTCACTTTTTACAATAGTCAAGGTGTCTTATGAACGTGGTTGGGTCAATTCAGTCTTAATACTGACACCTTACAAGTGATTTGTCTCGAATATACTTTCCTGCCCACCTTGTATACTTACCCAATCCAACCACATGATGAGTCGTACAGTTTGGCTCTGCCTCGTAACCGCTTACAGTAGAACAAAACATTTGCGACTACCTTCCGTGTATTTCAGACAATTTGATTCATCCACATATACAACTAAATTACTTGTCTGACCATTGTTATTATTATTATTTGTCCCTTGAATTCCTAATGGGACATACAGCTTCAGTAGCATGCCTCTGTTGCACACTCTGTTCTCTGCAGTCTTCATAACCTGGCTCCACGACTGCCCACAACCTTTCATTTCTTCCTCACATGATCTCCTCCATGTCACCCCCACCACGGATGCCCAACTTGTCGTTCCCTTTTCGATTCCACTCAACTGACTGACCTGATCTGGCGCGTGATGTTCCCAAACCGTCTTCTCACTCTATGACCCATCAAACCCAATCTATCTTCACTTCCTTCCACTGCATATTTGTTGGGTGATAGGTTCTCACTTCGTTGGTTCGTTGCCACACAGCCAGTCACAGTTCCTTCTTGCTTATTCTCATTATTATCGCCATCTCAGTCAGCTTCAGTATCGAGCAAGCGTAGGTGGCAGCTGTTCATGAATATATGTAGTTTATTGGAAATGCTTTTCGTAATGGTACAAGTCTCTCAACCATCACATGAAGTACTGACTTGACTGGTATTGGTGATGGGAATCCGGATATTGTTCCCACTTTATGCTGAGTGCAGCACAATTGATCTGCACACTGTTTTCAGGTTAATCAACACCTGTCTTGCTGTCTTTCCAATCCAGACTGCTTTGATATCCTCATGTGTGTGTGTACCACCACCTGTATTTGAAACGATGCTGTCTGGGTAGATGAAGGTGAGAGAGACTACTTCGTTTAGGTTTCTTCTGTTCATGGTGATTGGAGCTTGTTGATGTTGTTGTTGGTGGTGGTGATGCTGGTTTGGTATGTTCATCACCTGTGTCTTCTCTACATTTACTTGAAGTTGTATCTTCGCTGAGTCGCCTCTTTGTTAACTTGTTGGATTTTGTGTGTTGGTCTTTGAGTTTGTGCGACATTCGACAGAAGTCATGGGGGAAATCCAAATCTTCTAGGTTTTTTTCCACAGTCCAGTGTATCCCCCTCTTCTCGCTCCCACTGTTTGTTGCATGATCCAGTCCACCACAATTAGGAATACCATGGGTGATAGGTAGTAGGCAGCCTTGTTTTACTCCTATCTTCACTTCAAAAGCATCACCGAGCTTCCCATTGTGAATTACTTGGCATGTGGCATCTTCATATAGTTGCTGAACGAGGCTCATAAAAGTTTATGGTATTCCGTAGTATTGAAGCAGTTTGCAAATTACTTCTCGGTCGACGCTGTCGAAG